TCGTATTGTTACGACTTTATTCTCGTAATATTACAACTTTATTCTCGTAATGGTACGACTTTATTCTCGTAATATTACAACTTTATTCTTGTAATGTTTGACTTTATTCTCATAATGCTTCAACTTTATTCTCGTAATGTTATGACTTTATCTGATAATGTTACAAGTTTATTCTCAAAATGTTACAACTTTATTTTCATAATATTACACTTTATTTTCGTAATTTACGACTTTATTCTCGGAATGTTACGACTTTATGCTAAAAATGTTACAACTTTATTCTTGTAATGTTTGACTTTATTCTCATAATGCTTCAACTTTATTCTCGTAATGTTATGACTTTATCTGATAATGTTACAAGTTTATTCTCAAAATGTTACAACTTTATTTTCATAATATTACACTTTATTTTCGTAATTTACGACTTTATTCTCGTAATGTTACGACTTTATGCTAAAAATGTTACAACTTTATTCTCAAAATGTCACAACTTTATTTTCATTATATTACACTTTATTTTCGTAATTTACGACTTTATTCTCGTAATGTTACGACTTTATGCTATTAATGTTACAACTTTATTCTCGTAATTTTACAACTTTATTCTCATATTACAACTTTATTCTTGTAATGTTACGACTTTATTCTCGTAATTTTGCAACTTTATTCTAGTAATATTACAACTTTATTCTCGTAATATTACAACTTTATTCTCGTAATGTTACAACTTTATTCCTGTAATGTTACAACGTTGTTCTCATAATGTTACAACCTTATTCTCGTAATGTTAAGAATTTATTCTCAAAATATTACAACTTTATTCTCGCAATGTTTTACTTTATTCACGTAATGTTACTTTATTCTCGTAATGTTACGACTTTATACACGTAAGATTACAACTTTATTCTCTTAATATAACACTTTATTCATGTTATATTACAACTTTATTCTCGTACTGTTATGACTTTATTCTCAAAATAAAAAATCTCTAGCCTGGCAGTAATACTCCGTCATACAATACCTTTAGGTAAAAACATGTGAAGATGGGTTATTTTAACTTGAGTTTGGGTACTCTACCCATCTCTGATTATAATAAAAATATTTATACTGTATGTTTTTCTGTACAGGGACCAAGCCAGGGGGGCAGCACAGCACTAGTTCCTCAGGGGCCCCTGTTGGCCCCTGTCTAAAACCGCCAATAACAGTTGGCAACCCTAACCTTTTCCCACACAGTTTCTTCTTACTTTTCCATTTGCCACAAGATATTTCAGATCATCAAGTACATATTATTACCAGAGAACATAACGCAACATGAATATTAAGATTCCCATATTTTGATTTATGTGGATGCATCGCTTGTTTTTGAAACAGCATTCTGCATAAGCTAAAAAAAAAAAAGCCCTAACCTTGAGGTAACCTGTAGGCCTCTGGTCAGATTAGTGTGTCTATTTCTGTCCTCCCCCTCGTTGGTACCATCTTTGTTAGTGGGTTTCTTTCATTAGACCAAACTATATGGAAATAAACACCGATTGGGAACCTAAAATGTGGCACAGAGACAAAGAAAATAAAGAAAAGGAAACATTTTACTTGTTGTTTTATTGACATTAAAGGGTGTTTTGTAGCTGGTCTGTAGTGGCTCTGTGGTTTCCTCTCTAGTACTTCTCCTTTAAGCACAGAAACCCCCCCTCGGCCATGACGTGAGGACTAAAACCTGCTGCCTGCCTCTCCGCTGGAAACTGAAGTGTGATTGTCGATGCTGTGGGTGTCCGACTTTCTCTGTCATTTTCTATTTTCTCTGAGCTTTCGCTCGTCTTTAAATCCGTCTTTTAGGTTTCCTGTTTTTTAAAAAGTGAAACAAACCTTTATAGGTGACTTAGGATATGTTTTAAAAAACTTCTTTCTGCGTTTTTTTTTTTTTTTTAGAAACCGATGGAAGGCGGACACCGAGATGGAGAAGCTAACCGATAGCTCACTGATTAGCCTAGAAGCATAGCTCGCGGATAGACTCCAGCTAGCATGCTAACAACTGTCTAATTTAGCTTTTATTGGCTAACAGGGAGGCTTCTTTTACTGACACCAGAGTTATTCTCGTTTGTCTTGTTTTTTTATTTTTTATTTTATCGTGTTCGGTTTGTGTGGGGACAGGGAAGCCAGGAAGACTCGATTATCTGGTCAAAAAAAAGGAGAACGGCGCGGCTTTTTGTCGAGAAGCGGCGGCTAGGTGATCTTACTAGCTCTGTCAACCAGACTGGACATTATGCTGTCTAACGCTCAGAACCAGCCACTGTTTCCCATCCCGGCGGGCCAGCAGAACCCCACGGGCCAGTTCCACGCCAGACCCCACCTACAGATCCATAAGAACGCCATAACGGACGAATACAAGATAACCGGCCAGGTGTTGGGACTTGGGATCAATGGCAAGGTGGTGGAAATATTCCAGAGGAAGACCGGAGATAAATATGCTTTAAAGGTGAGCCACAGCGGTCAGACAAGCCAAGGTGTCTCGGTACACTAGAAATAAGTAACAACTTCTTAAATTAAGTGTATTTATCCTTAATTTGTGTAGGTAAATAAGATGATTTGCCAATGGAATGATTACTTTTACTCGTAAAATACGATAATTAGATAATATGCACTTGAAATAAGACAATGAAATTGTGTTTTTTTTTATTTTAAGTTTAATTTGTCTTGTTCCATTGGTAAAATGTATCTTTTACCTCCTCAATCCAAGAACAAATGCACTTATTTTAAGAAAAATAAGTGACTTTTTTTTTCCAGTTTACCACTTTGGACAGGCATATAAATAATGTGAAGGTTACAGGCACACTTTATGTTTTGGTGTTTTAACTGCTTAAGTCCAATCATTAAGTGTATTTCAAGTTAAGCTCCTCAATTTAGATTTTTTTTTTTACTGCTTTGATTGCTACCTAATTTATATAAAGCAGAATCACAATCTTCATAGTTTGTTTTTCCATAAGGTCTTAAAAAGCAACATCTGGACTCAAAATATCTATATTTTCTGAATGAGACCTTCCTGTAATTTAATGATGACTTAGATTTTTGAGGTCCCTTATTCGTTGTTTGCTGTGATTTTGTTTTCAGTCATCTGAAGCTCTGGCTTTGCCTTATTGTTTCATAAAACCACAAGCTTAATGATGCGGGTTGGGGGGGCAGCTCCTGTCGAAAGGAATTTATTTGATAGATATTAAGCCTTAAACACAAACATGTGAGACAATGGTGCAGCTCAAACTGGGTTAATGGCTTAAAATTTAATTAAAACCGATAGAGCAGGGGGAACCCATTAAAAATCAGCAGGGTCCGAATAAAGAAAATCAACAACCAGTAAAGGTCCGGAGACATTTTTAATTATAATCTGTTACTTTAAACATGATTTAACATTGAAATATAATGAAGTGTTTATGCATCCATGTTATACATTGACTTTTAAGTAATATAAAAATAAACATATTTTACATTTTAAAAAGAACAGCAATCGTTCAGTTTGGTATAAAGACAATTTCCTAATTCACATATTTTATAAAACACCTGAACTGACCTTTGTTGTAATTTTTTTCTTTCTTTTTTCTGGCTTAATG